ACAATAAGTACCTCCCTGAGCTGCAAAAGTTGATCTCTAGTATATCGAACACGCTCACGACCTTCAAACCGCAAGTCACCAGTCTATTACAAGAACACATTTGAAAGAGTAAAAACATATAAGTTGTAAACATCAGTAAATTAACTATATACCTCAAAACATAAATAAGCAAGCCCACACAAAAAAGGAGATGTGTTATTAACGAAGAGTGAGGATGGCATGCATGACCGACCATACCCCAATTAGAGCTTGAACCTAGAAAGCTAAGACACAAATACAACCATAATAGATCATATGTGTTGAAAAGTGAAGACATATCAAATTAGAACACATGTATCAATTAGAAAATCACAATCAACAGACAGAAGCCAAAATTATATTTAAGAAGCTTAACATGTAATGTCGGTTCTTTATGGGCATTGCTGACTCATTGCATGCCCACCTAAATCCAACATATAACTCTTCGTCCATATTTACAGCTGGTACACATTCTTGAGAGCCCTGCCAAGAATTAGGACGTTTAAATCTACCAATATCAAATTCACCATATTTGGACGATCAAATCTTTTTCTAGGAATCTCAAAGTTTTGGTTTTTGAGGATTTCAAGGAAGAATGTGAATGAAGATCCAATTTGTACAATGATAACGTTCATTTATCAGAAAAAGTAAAACTCTTTAGCAATTACGCTCAATATATCCAGGCAACAACCTTATAATACAACACCGAAGCCATTCCAAACAAAAATATATATAATACAAAACTCGATATCCACTCAAGGAAGAAAAAAAATGAGAAAAATATTGTTTTGAACTAACTAAACCTCTAGAGAACCAGATCTGTAGAACAAGCAAATACATTCATTAAAAAGCTTATGCAATCATACATACATACATACAAATATATATATATATATATCTATATATGTTTGGAGCTAGGGTTAGGAGGGACCTTGAAGGCTGAAGCGAGGCCGGCATGGGACTGGAGAGCCTGAGCCTCTGAAGAAGAAGAATCAAAGCGAGGTGCGAGGAATCTGGGGGCACGGAGGCCACCGGCGCCTCCAGGTCT